AGGTATCCATTAGAGAGTTAACGCGTCTATTAAAGTGTTAAAAGAGAGGCTCCGATGTGACATCTGGATCTAACCTGTCGCTTCTCGATAAAGATATCTATCGCGCATCAAACTCATCTTTATAATGAGATCCAATGATTATGCATTATACGTTTTCTTCTCCCTAGCTCTCGTATATTATTTCGGACGATCAGGAAAACAGTCATCGCGTGTCGAACTAGATAAGAAAGCGAGCCTCCCGCCCCTAGACCTGAACCGAGGCTAGATTTTTTGCGAGGCCTCGTTTCCTGGTTTAATTCCTATTTAGGGTAGTTTCAGGTAATGTCGTTAAAATTGGTCAGCACTGCTACAATGTGTCAGCGCAGGAAAGAAGGTGTATTTTTTGCAACATTCCGGCGCGCCGCGGGCAGTGTTTAAACGAGCACAAATAACCATAATGAGGTTGCCACGAAAATTCTGTTCAAAATTCAGAGCGAGCATTCGTAAATGCGCGTGCATCCCGAAGACGAACGTTCTCAGAAGGATAAACTCTAATATATGCAAATCCCTAGTGCGGTCGAAATGCGAGAAAGTAGCCGAAACACGGCATTCGCGGAATCGATTCATAACTCGGTGACCATGGACAGGATGCATCGTTAATAGCTACGGCCCTTTATACAGGGTGTCCAAGAAATTATGATCAATAACGAGAATGCATTTTAGAATAAATTTAAAATTCACTTTTTATCCTTAAAAAAAAACTTATTTATTTCCTTTTGTTAATTCCAATTTAATTGATTATCTTTGATATTTTGCGACTTTTTTTAACAAAAAAAATTTTATATATATATATATATATATGATCGTACTACAGAATACTAAAATGCAGAGAAGCATTAAATTTTCTCCAAACTAATAACATTGCAATAAACCTAAAGACCTCTTTGAAGACTCTCTTTAAAGAGAGACTCGCCAACTCGTCACGTGACTATTAGTCGACTCTAATTGCAGTATAAATGCTAAATCTGTATGCCTATGAAGCTATAATCTGTTGGTTATATGCAGAGGGTGAGTCTCTCTTTAAAGTAATTTCTAAATGAATTACAATTTATATTCTAGTCAAATTCACATGGTGCAAATTAATGTTCTACGAAAGAAATCCTAGATCTCTTGTATTCAGGGAAAAAAGAAGATATAAAACGAGAGGTACGGAGAGAAGAGCAATGGCGACGCGGTCAACCGCTATGTGTTTGTTTTGCTTATCTGAGACAAATTTGCTGTCTTGTAAGCGGCACCGAAGGGTCGCCTTTGACAAACTGGGGGTGCTTCTGGGAGATTCAGACACGAGTATGTAACATACAGGGACAACTTTTAGGCATGTGTATACGGGATATTTCTCTCTCTCTCTCCCTCTCCCTCTTTCTTCAATCTGACCGAAACGAGTCCCAGTCTTTTCTTCGATTTTTCTCTCCTCCGTTCCTCCCCCTCTTTCTTCGAGCGGCCCTCGTAAAACTTGGTCAACTTTCCCCGGCAGTCCGGCATTGACTTTTTCGTGGACGATGGGGACGACGGGAAAAGCATCGTACTTCTAGACTCCAGGAAGCTCCGGATGGTTATTTATTTCGGTCGCCACCGAACGTCCAACGTTATGGTGGTGTTCCATTCACGGGAGAATTTACTGCCGATGATCGCTTCCGCGTGGCGAGAGATACATGCGCGCACGGATTCTCGCGAGGGATAACTTGCATTCCAAATATTAGCGCGCGATAAAGCGAAAGTGCGCTCTCGAGAATTTGACATACGTATCGAAACGCTTCATTAATTACACGCTGAACGTGTTCGATGTAAGTATAGACTCGTGTACGTACGATATGGTACGATATAACCATTTCCATACTAAGGAAATAAATATCGTGTTAAAAGGAAAGGGGGCTATTATGTAAATCGTAAGGAAAATGAATCGCGCAGTAACAAATGGATAATTAACGATTTATCGTCAGTAAGTGCGCGTTGAAAATCATATGAGATATATATCGCTATCATTAAGCGCGCGATGGGGGAATAATATGTATTAATTAGCGGACTTTAACGCTCTGATGCTTTCCCTAACAAAAGGAAAATGCGGCTAATGTAAGACGTTAATCAGATTTATGGCGCGCGGCCCGACCATGCCATAAATCTACGGAAATAGTCGGTGAACCGTATCGCCAAATCGCGCTGCCGACAGGAAGAATCCGATCGAGCATTACTCTTCGGACGAATAGGGCGAGAGAAAGAGACGGCCTCCCGACCGTAATTAATTATTAATTAGGATTACCGTCTCCACCCCGGGGGCGACCTCTCGACGACGCCGTAACGACTTCCTTCGTGCCTTCGCCCCCTAAAATAAACGGGGCTGCACGGGAGACTGCTAAGTAACTCCATGAATTTTCCGGCTGCGCCCTCAGGGCTGGCTCGTGCCCCTCACGCGGGGGTGTAGCTTCTAATCATCCCTATCTCCTGGCCACACCCTCGCCTTCAATGACCACGGAGTCTATCTCTTCGTCTTCGCGAAGATTCTATTTCTTTCTTTCTCTCCTCCCGTGTTCTGCGACAAAGTTCTACGACAAAGTTCCCTCCAGTTCCCTTCGCCATATTTTATCCTATTCTCTTTTTTTTTCTCCTTTTTGCACGACAGACTGCGTTTCCTCGTCGTTCTGGTGCAACAATTTTTCCTCGCTTTCGCCGCTAATACGACACTAAATCGGCCTTAGGCCATCGTGGGTCGTGGCGAAAGGCGTTAACGGCTGGCCTTAACGAATCCTCGGATGCTCCCTCTGACGTGTATAGACCCGCTGAGACCTGCGTGCGACACGCGAGCTCTTTCGGCGCGCACTACGATTTGAGAATTTATTCTCTCTAGGCGCTATCATTATTTCCCCTTTCCTTCACGAATCCGCAGCGGTGTCAGCCGTGGACTAATTCGAAGTACATTTAACCCGCTCGCTCACGGAACGGTCTCGATGACGAACGGACACGCGAGTTGAGTAAATCTCAAATAGGAGGCATATTACCTTTTGAAGCAATTGATTTTTAAAACTCGCACAGTTTCCTTCGGCGATCCACAATTCGTACGCATTACGAATTACTCACACAGGTTACAAACGGTCACGAAAGTAAGGCATAGGCGGCGGGCAATTAAAATTTTCATGAATTACTTATAAATTCAAATTGTGTGTAAACAATTTTAACGCTAATTACGGTATAAATAACTTGGACGATTTATCATGCGAATCAATGATGGCTGACAAGATGCGCGACGCTTGAATTAATTGCCGGAGATTGTCTTGCGCGTGTGTACGCGCGTTTGTGTGTGTTCGTGTCACAGAAAATACATTCATCTTACGCGGACGCACGTCGCACGCTCGAATCGTGACGAAGAAATCGACGGCGGGAAACGGGAGGGCGCGAAAAGGGGAAAGGCGGAAGTAAATCATGCAACCCCCGTGACGACGTCGGTGCGATGACAAACGAGCACCGACGACGTCATCGCGCAAGAAGTGGAAGCGACATCTGATAACGACCTTAATCGCATTAAGGTACGTCCCTCCCCCTCGTACAATCCTCCGCCGCAGTCGTGATCGCGTCCCTAATGTCCTGAGAAAAACCACCACAATTGCAGATAAATCGCTCCTGACCGAAAGTACCAGAGTACCAGTGGAAGGGCGAGATATCAATAGCTTCTCCGTTGACAGCTTCTGTTTTACGCGAAAGGATTGACGATAATTATCGCTTCAAATTAAATTCAAGAAAATGTATAAAGAATCGCATGGCGCAAAGTCAAGTGCATCATCAAATATTACCGAAAATTGAGTCACCTCGTCCCGTTTTCAGGAGCGTAAGGTGCGCTCATCCCCCACGCACAAAAAGCATTCGTCACGCGTCATTCTCGAGGGTCGCGGCATTCTCGACGACTTAAACACACTCGTGCCCCTCAGAAAAGAATGAATTCAGCTCGCAGAGAAGGGTTAAGCGCGCGGCACTTTTTCGCAGTGTCTCGCGTACGATGTACAAGTCGCGCGGCCGGATTATCCACGCGATTCGGAGGTGAGGTTTGTAGAGCCCGTCATAAATTAACGCGAAGGCGAGAGAATGGCGTTACGGGTGGGTGAGAAGAGGGGAAAAAAGGAATGCGTCATAAAGAGAAAGGGAGAAAGAGAGAGACAGAAGGAGAAAGCGGTGGTCCTTCACGGTCCTATGCAGGTGTAAGGTACGGCGACAGCACGCGACGACAATATGCTACGCGCAACAAAATCATCTCAGGACGAGGAAGAGCGAGAGAGATCGAGAGAGCGAGGGAGGGAAGGGAGGAAGTTCAACCCCCTTCGACGACAATGCGACATTTCATTATTAACCCTCCCGTTGCGCCGCCGTCGTGCGCTCGACCCCAAAGCGAGATTCAAATTAAACACGCAAATATTTGCGTATTTTATTCCCGGGGTTTTGTCGGCCGGCCGCGTTTTGTTACCTGCTCGCGCAGCGCGCGCCGAGTTTAATTCGTTTTGTTATAAATACATCAGCGGTCGCGGCAAATTACCTTTTACGAGTGCAGCGGGGACGGGGAGGAGAAAGAGAGAAAGAGGGACAGAGAGAACGAAGTGGGAGAGGGGAGAATGCACGCGCGCAAGGAAAACCTCGCGCGATGGAATAACGACGGTGATAGATTTTTCGGCAAAATTGAGTGAATGGTGGCGAATTATACAAAAATTCGTGTCCATTGTTTCGGAAATGCGCCCGCTGTTTAACGCCGCACCGGTTAAAATAGTTAAAATCTCCGCGGGGATCGCTCGCGCGTCAGCGTGCAACGTTAACTTCGTTTCGACAAAAAAATCCCGCTGTGTATTTTTGTTAACCTAGCTCGCGCAATCGAAAATGGATACGCGATAGCATTAGATATAAATAAAAGTGAAAATACATGTTACAAGAAGAAACAATCACGCCGTCGCGGGTGATCAATGGAGAATAAATTGATTGTTACTCACCATGCCCGTACGGATTCGGAGTAGCAGCCGGTTTCCGGGTTCAACATTTTACGATCGCTATCTGACCTGAAAGACAGAACGTAAGATTTATTAATACTAATTCATATTAATATACCATTAATTATTTATATTTATTTATACATCGCTAAAATACATAATTGATTTTGTTAATGTTTCTAAGTAACGACGCGACGCTTCCGGATATTTCGCATTTTGCGCAAATATCCTCTCGCAAAAGAAGCAGTTAACGAGCGCGACGACGACGACGACGACGACGACAACGATGAGGCTGTCGGCAGTCGGTGGGACGCATTTTCGCTCAACCTGTTAACAGTGACGTCAGTAAAGATAGACGAGCGACAACCGGCCATTATCGTCTCAACGCAGCCGACACGCGGGATGAATAATATACGTGCGTAACGAACGCGCAGGGCGGCGTCGATGGTGACAAGGTGTAGACCCGTGTTGTGCGGCGGAGTGTGGAGCACGACGTATGTGTCGATACGTTTATTTGCAATACGCCTATCGTGCGTGTAATAACGAAACGCGCACGCACACATGCGCACATCGCCTCTCTCTCTCTCTCTCTCTTTCTATACATACGTATTACGCCATCGTGACTCCGCGGCATCGATACATTATCCGTTCGGGATTTATTGGGCGCTCTTTTCGACGAGGACGTTTTCGTATCGGCTTTATCGAATTATTACCGGTGTCGCTGACAGCCGAGAGAAAACTACAGATTTTTGTAAACGGGCGAAATGCAATTGTTATCAGAAGTGAATAGAAACGTATAATATATATATTATATATGAAACAGCATTAAATGGGACGGAACGACGAATATTAAATATTCATTACAGTCGAGCAAGGGGCCTTTTGAGTTTTGTCGTCGCGACATAATATGATTTAAGAACTTTTACGGCGCTATATCAAACGGACTATAACGGGTACTTATCGCCATAATCGTGTTATAGGCGCGTTTACGAAGCCTCTTGTCACGGTCGGAACGTATAATAAGTTATACAAAGGAGCTGGTGGAATCTGCCACGCATATTACATCGTCGCGGTCGAAATATATCTTTATACGAAACGGAACGTTTATCCCCGAAAGTCACGGCTAATCCTTTGATTTCTTAATCGGCACACCGCGGGCGTGTGTTTGCGTGTTGTGACAGCGGGCATTATCGTGCAACCGATTACATGCGACATCGTGTGGGCTATATAGGTGAGAGCGGGGTGGGGTCGTGAGAACCCCATCTGCCCACAGAAAGGGGTGGACAGACGGGGCGAGCGGATCGAAAGCGGGACGAGGTAGGAGGCGCGCTTTCTCTCTTTCGTCGAGGGTGGAAATCACTGTCCGCAGGCATTAGGCATTCATGCGTGCCGGTTGCGTGAGTCCCCGTCGCCGCATACCCCGCACGTTTGCGCGTGCGTGCGTGCGTGCGTGCGTGCGTGCTCGCGAGCGCGCGCGCGCGCATATATGTGTGGGAATGTGAATTCACAGTGGTGAATTCCGCCGACGCTATAATTCGGGTAGGGGTCGGTAGGAATGTGATTTTTGGTCGGCGCAATATGTCGCCGGGTCGAGCAGATTCGCCCTCGACGGATATGTTGTTTGCCTCCCGGAGAACAGAGAGAAGGTCGGCCTAGGTCGGAATAGGATGCTTGGCGAACGCGGGAGAACGCGGGCGAAACGGAGAGTGAGATCGTTTTTCTTTACCGTGCCGCAAATAGAAGCGCGGACTTTCTTTTTCCTCTTTATTTCTGTATAGGAAGCGGGAAAGTATACTCGTCGTGAAAATCGTCGATATGCGATAAAAGAGTGTACATGCCAAGTAGATGAATCGCCACTGAGAGACCTCACCACGTAGGTACTCGAGCTGTCGCGTTAGCGATTATTGGCAACGATATATAAGTTGGACGATGAATAATGTTGAGGCTGGACGTTTCGCGCATTACATTGCGCCACGGAATGCGAAAAGGCGCTGAGCGCTGTGATGCACTTGCATTCGTGGAAATTTGTAACGCAACGCGGAGACAACGCTCCTTGGCTCTCGTAATCCGAGAGAATTGCCGCGGTGGCTTGATACGAACATGAAAATTTACGCGACAATTGGATAGCGTTGCGAGATTTCGATACGGTACCAATTCAACTGCGGGTTAGTCGATATGCAATTATTCCTCGTATGGAAATTTTGCAACACGAGCGATATTTCTTAGTTACATTTTGCCGATTTATCCGCGAAGACAATCGTATAAATAAAATACCAGCATATTTTTATTCTGATAATTCCGTGCGATACGGGAACGATACAAGAACTCAAATTAAAATCGTCTTATCATAATCGACAAAGCTGCAGCAGAGGCACCGTGAGCCTGTACACAGCGATGACAGATTGTACTGAATGACGATCGCACATTCCTTTGTCAAGTAGAGCGTAACTCAGCGGCACAAGCATTCGGATTAATAGAGGTAGCTTTCGATCTATCTTTGGGCATGACCGCAGAGTATGACTTATGCAAGCATTCATTCCATTTCACCGAAAGTATAACGAAGGTATACATTACCGATATTAAATGTTAAGAAGAATAAATATACTACGATAATTTAAATCTGTATAATTTTATAAAAATTTGTCTTTGGACGGTTTAAAAGACATCCGGCTCGGTCCTGATCGATAATTAATCATTTTAAACCTTGACCAAAAAGTTAGGTTGAGTTTTTCAAACAAAATGTACGGGAAAAAGTGATTATTCATCCAAATTTTCAAAATTGAGAAACTGCGGCGTCCTTTGTGTCTTTTGAAACACTCAAAAGCACTTCACAAAAGATACACAGGTAGTCGAAAAGGGATTAAAATTTAAAAACGGACGTACTTTACATACTTGAATATTCTAAAATGGCAAATTCATTTTCCAATCATTTGTTAAAGTCTACTTGACAAAGTACTTAATTTTATCCTAAAAGCGATACGCTCGACGAAAATTGTCCTCTAAACTCAGTCTCTCTTAGTACGGATATCATCGATCAATGCTATCTCGGAGATTGGATACTGCTATTTCGACTATCTAGCGGAAACTTGGCCTTGGACAGGAAATTTTTGCATAGCAAAAATACGCTTGTAAATATACGAAATTCATGCATCAAGATTAAAGACTTCTCAATCTTTCGGTCTTATTTTATTGTTGACGTAAAGAGAATCATGATAGAAATTATCTTATTTCTTATTTATTATTAGTTTATTTTAATATGATATAGAGTGACAAGTGCCACTCGTTTAACATAGAATCAGCAACTCACCGACGGAATTTGCAATTGTTTCACCGAATCGGAAATGATCTACGGATTGGCAATCGCCCGATACGCGTACGGGCGATCTCTTTCGGTATATAAGACCCGCGGAACATTGCGCAAATACCGTGTCCCCCGTGGCATAATCACTGTACTTAAGGGGAGTGGTTGTACCACCCGTGACCGGGTTCCCATAACCTCGGCGTTATTAAATGCCAAAGCGAAATCACGTCGTTCACGTCGTGCCGTCCCACACACGATCGGCCGTTTTGGCAGGTGCTTCGTCCACGGATTTCCCATAAAAAGGGAACGCCGTGCGCGCGACTTTAATTATGCTGCACCTGCCCCCGTCGAAAATTCCCATGCTGACACGGTGGGGAAATCAGACGCGATTTCTCGTCGCCGTAAACCGGCGCGTTACGCATAAATCAGAGCGGACGAATATTATTTAAATATTTATGACGATTGTAACTGTAATGGCATGCGTATACCCCTCTCCCCTCCCCCTTCCTCCACTCCTCCTCGTTAACCCGCCGACAGAAGAGACGATCCTGACAATATATATCGAATTTTTCCATAACATTACAATCGCATCGTTGAATTTCATTTCGCGTAATAATTTTTCAACGCAAAACGTCAGTCTTTTAATATAAAATAAAACAGAATAAGAATTACCTTACGGTGGATGTGAATTTCGGTTTTAATTATACTATTCGCGAAACATTATTCCCTCCATCAGCACGCAATAGCGTACAGCCCGCGATAAGGAGCTGTGTTAACGAAAGTTAATGGATCGTCGCAATCAGCGTGCGCGGCCACTTATATATACAAGCTGCCTGTACACAAAACTGCCACCGAGCACATTGCGAACTGAGTTTCGCGGAACGCGCCGTCGCCGAAATGAAATATCTGAGTTATCACGCGCGCTCGCCAAGTTCGCCGCGCGTCGAAACAATAAGGCGGAAAGGAAGAAAAGAAAAAACGCGCGCGCGGCCCGAAACGCGAGTTATTCCGGCGAACGCAGGGAAGACGCAGGGGCCGAAACCTGGGCCCGCTCACGTCGCCGCGATGCCAGGCGTCGGTATCCGCGTAACAAATCGCCCTTTTAATCACGAGTGGCTAGCTGCCTCGAGTCATTTGGCTCTAATGGCGGCCTCTTGTTTAGGCGCGCAACGCGGTAGGTTGCCGGGCAATTTCGTTCGCGGCCGCGCCGATACGCCGACGTTTTGTTTAAACCACCCTGGCTCATTAGTCATCGTTCGCGGACGGCACAAAGTATAACCCTTTGACGCGCGATCCGCGAGGCCTCGCCTTGACCGACGCAGCAGAAAGAGACGCTTGTGTGTCAAAACAAGCTCGCGTGCTTCTGGATTCGGATCCGGAGAATGGACCACCTTCACTTGGCGAATCATTTGTAAGCGATATAATTCGAATAAAAGTGTTTAAGCGTAAAAAAAAACGATTGCAACATGTAAAATACAGTGTCGAATGCTTGCGAAATTTTACTTCATATTCAAAATGAATTAAGTATAGAACGCCCGAATTTTCATATGATTTATTATTCGCAAATTGTTAAATATAATATTTGTGTGAGATATATATATATATATATATGTACATTGCGCATCCAATGCATTTTTAACCTTCAGCATTGCTAAATTTATCTTTAATTTTAATAGAACTATTCTTAATAGAACGTACCTTAAATTTCTGCGTTGTCCGAAATGTACATATGATATATAAGTTATGTCGCGAGAACAGCGCGTTTTTA